GCTGATTTTTTGATTTATTGTAGAGATGAGGTCTTGCTGCCCAGGCGGGTTTCAAACCCGTGGGCTCAGGCAATCCACTCACCTCAGCATCCCAAAGGTGCGGGATTACAGGCTGAGCCACCGAGCCCGGCTGATTTCCAAATTTCTTTAAAAAAAATTTTTATTATGAAGATGTGGGGTACAATTCAAGGTATATAAACATTGATCATGCAGGTGCCCTTGTTGATGAGGTATGCCCCTCCCTCCCCTAGCAGTTTCCCACTACTGCCAATCCCTTTCTTATAGTATTATGACAATTATTCAAGGTCCACTTATGAATGAGAACATATGGTATTCTGTTCTTTGTTTCTGTGATAGATCACTGAGTATGATCAACTCTAAATCCATCCAAGTTGCTGCGAAGTCTATCTGTTTGTCCTTCTTTATGGCTGAATAATATTCCATTGTGTATATGTACATTTTAAAAAATCCAGTCCAGCTTCAATGGGCAGCTTGGTTGGTTCCATGTTTTTGCTATTGTGACTAGAACTGCAACAAACATAAGCGTGCTGGTATCTTTTTTGTAGAATAATTTGAGTTCCTCCGGGTATATTCCCAATAGGGGAATTGCTGGGTCATATGGAAGGTCAATTTCTAGTTCTTTCAGAAATTGCTACACTGTCTTCCAAAGAGCTTGTACTAGTTTGCATTCCCACCAGCAGTGTAGAAGCGTTCCTTTTTCTCCACATCCTCACCAGTATCTGTTGTTGTTTGTTTTATTAATGATGGCCATTCTTACAGGGATTAGGTGGTATCAAAATGTGGTTTTGATTTGCATTTCTCTGATGATGTGTGAGGCTGAGCACTTTTTCATGTGTTTGTTGGCTGCCCGTATATCTTCTTTTGAGATACCTTTTAAAGAGGCTGTTTGTTTTTTTCTTTTCGGTGCATTCGAGTTCCTTGTAGATCCTAGATGTTAGGCCTTTGTCAGATATACAGTTGACAAATATTTTCCCCCATTCTGTGGGCTGTCTCCTTGCTCTCTTGATGGTTTCTTTTGCTTTGCAGAAGCTCATTAATTTGATGAGGTCCCACTTGTCTATCTTATTTCTTAAGGTATTGGCCTTTAGGGTTCTGAATAGGAATTGGTTCCTAGTTCCAATTTCCACAAGGATGTCTCCTGCTTTTTCTAAGATTCTTATAGTTTGAGGTTTTACGTTTAGGTCTTTGATCCATTTAGAGTTAATTTTTTTGTATGGTTATAGGTAGGGGTCCCGTTTCAATCTTCTGCATGTGGTCAGCCAGTTTTCCTAGCACCATTTACTGAATAGGTTCTCCTCTCCCCACTGGTTGTTGTTGGAGGTTTTGTCAAAGATGATTTGGTTGAGGAATTGAGGCTTTGCTTCCAGAATCTCTATTCTGTTCCATTGGTCTATGTGCCTGTCCTTGAACCAACACCAGGCTGTTTTGATTACTGTAGCCTTATAGTAAAGTTTGAAGTCTGGAAGTGTGATACCTCCTGCTTTATTTCTTTTGCTAAGGATTGTTTTGGTTATTTGTGGTCATTTATGTTTCCATGTGAATTTCTGTATTGTCATTTCCAGGTCTGAGAAGAATGATGTTGGTAACTTAATAATGGGTATTGCGTTGAGTCTGTAGATTGCCTTTGGTAAGATGGACATCTTAACAAGGTTGATTCTTCCTATCCATGAGCACGGAATATTTTTCCATTTGTTTGTGTCTTCTTGGATTTCTTTGAGCAGTGTTTTGTAATTCTCATTGTAAAGGTTTTCACTTCTCTGGTTAGGAAGATGCTGAGGTATTTCATTTTTTTTGGTGGATTTCCACATTTCTACGCTGAGTACGTATTGTTTTATAATTAGGGTGAAGTTGCAACTGCTTCTGATGACAAAGAATAGGTAGCAAGCAAACTCTGCTTCCATATAAAAGCTCCTCTTCGCTCCCTTAACAAGCAAAGGGTATTCCATAGCATTTTTTCCTTTAGATCCTAATTGAAAAGGACGTTTTCCATTTCTGTCTGGGGAGCACTTGTTTCTTCTGGCCTGCTCTGCAATTGACGGAATCTGAGAGGCGAAACTGGGGCGGGATGGAGAGAGCCTGGGGTCGGGGCGCAGGACCGACTACAGCGGACCCTGGCGCCTCCTTATTGGTCAGCAGGCTCCGGGACCTCGTCCAATCGCCCGTGGTCGGGTCGTCATGGCGACAGGGCACGCTAACGCAGGCGGTGTCGGAGGGAGACCTGCTAAGCTGGACCGCAGGGGGCGATGGCGCAGAACCTCTACGGTCCACACGTCCGGATAGGCAACTGGAATGAGGACGTCTACCTGGAGGAGGTACAGAGGGCATTATTGACGTTACACTCACCGTCTTGCGTTCTCTTCTGTTGGCCTTAACAAGGCCCTGGGCCGTTCGCCTATGGATCTAGTTGGGGAGGGGTGGTCTTTCCAGTGTCAATCATCATCCACTCAAGGGAAGCCTCAATAGTGAGAGATGACCTCTAAATGTTATTCATCATTGTGTCTGGCTAGAGTAACTACAGATAATGTTTCTTTCTTTCTTTTTTGCCTTACTCATTTTTCCTGAACATTAAAGTAACGCTAAAAACATTTTCACCATTCCCATTATGCCCACGTTTCTCTCTGTATTCAAATTTTGCTTTTTCAGCGTGAGGTGCTTCTGACCTAGAAGCTAACAATATTTGTATTATTCAGGATCATTTGTTGACACTTTGAATTTCGCTTTTCTCTTTCACTAGGAGCTCATGAAAGACTTCTTAGAAAAGAGAGATAAGGGAATACTTCTCATACAGAGAAATAGAAGACTAAAAAAGAATCTTTTGAGACCGGTAACTTTACATTTCAACATTCTTTTCAAAATTCTTTTTATTCCTACATCACGATCAAGTAGGTTTTATGTTTTTAAAATTCTGTCGGATTGTGGGTATATGTTAAGCAAGAAAAAAATTCCATAAACGATTTATCATTTGAAAAATAACCATTAAAAAGATCTGAATGCCACAGAACTTTAAATTCCTTAAGATTTTAGAAACATAAGGGAAATCTGCTCTTAATTATGTTTCACTGTATCTTCCAAATAAAGAAATGAATGACTACATCAATGAGTAAAATGCCCTCAGTTGGTGTTAAAGAAATATTCAACAAAAGTTGAATACATTAATAAGGGAGTCAGACCATGTGATTTTCACCAGTTTCATTTGACTTCATTTGGCATTATTGGTGGCTTTGCTTTGGCAACATGGAAGGAAATGGAAAAATGGACGAAGATGTGACAGAATCCAAGTGAAATCCTTGTAGAAATGGATCCTAGTGTGAGAAGAAAGGAAGGTGTGCCTGTGAGTGTCCTCTGCACTGTTTGCTGAGAAATTGCATGGTGTATGTGATAAACTCCTATTAAAATCGCAGATGCAGCTTTCCGTATCCGAAGATGGATACATCCATTATGGCGACAAAGTGATGCTTGTGAACCCCGACCATCCTGAGACAGAAGCTGATGTGTTTCTGCGTGGGGACCTGAGCCTGTGTATGACTCCAGATGAAATTCAAGCCCATCTGAGTGATGAACTCAAGGTGCCTTGTGACCTGAGTGCGGTTCAAACCAAGACCCCGGTTGGCAGAAACACTTTTATCATTTTGAGGTGGAGACACTTTAGTGTTCAGCTCATTTTCATCATAAATATCTGTTTTCATTTGTAGCTTAAGGACTCTCTGGGATTGGAGCTGCTGACTGGAGGCAAAGGTCATGTGAACATTGTCCATAATTCTCATCTTTCGTGCTTACCTTGAGAATTATTGTCAAGGGACCTTTACAATCCTTTGGTTTTTTTTTTTACCCTCAGATAGGAGGATAATTGGTAATTTGTGTTCAATGCAAAATGCTTAACTCATAAGAATTGGATCCAGAATATTAAATTCATATTCTGCCTGGAAGTAAAGTAGATTTTCCCAATAGCATTTCAAGACACTCTGAGCTCATTTGAGTGCTTTTATTGCTCTTTGATGTTGCTGTGTGATTATTACAACAAAAATATGTAGTTTAATACAAGGTAGCACTATATAGGATTTTCTTTTTTAGAATTGATTTCTCATTAAAAATGTATTTGAAGAGGCTGGGTGCAGTAGCTCATGCCTGTAATCCCAACACTTTGGGAGGCTGAGGCAGGAGGAACACTTGAGTCTAGGAGTTTGAGACCAGCCTGGGCAACATAGTGAGACCTGTCTCTACAAAAAATAAAAAACTTAGCTGAGTGTGGTGGCACACATCTAAGTAGTTCCAGCTAGTTGGGAGGCTGAGGTGAAAGAATCACTTGAGACCAGGAGGCTGAGGCTCTGTTGAGCTGTGATCGTGCCACTGCACTCCAGACTGGGCAAAAGAATGAGACCCCCACTTAAAAAAAAGAAAAGAAAAGAAAAAAGAAAAAAATGTATTTGAAGAGAATTTGAAAATGAGCAATTAAATCCTTAATCAAAACTGTTGCTATTTTTTTCTTTATTTTTGGAGCCGGGATCTCATTCTGTTACCCAGGCTAGAGTACAGTGGTGCAATCACAGCTCAGTGTTACTGCAGCTTCAATCTCCTGGGGCTCAGGTGATTTTTCTGCCTCAGCCTCCTGAGGAACTGGGACTGCAGTTGCACACCACCATGCTAGTCTAATTTTTTTGATTTTTTGTAGAGACGAGGTCTCACATTGTTGCCCAAGCTGGTCTCGAATTCCTGGGCTCAAGGAATCCTCCTACCTTGGCCTCCCAAATTGCTGGGGTCAGCCGGGCTCAGTGGCTCAGCCTGTAATCCCGTGCTTTGGGAGGCTGAGGTGAGTGGATTGCCTGAGCCCGCGGGTTCGAGACCCGCCTGGGCAACTTGGCGAGACCTCATCTCTACAATAAATAAAAAATCAGCTGGGTGTGGTAGTGTGCGCCTGTAGTTCCAGCTACTTGGAAGGCTGAGGTGGAAGGATCGCCGGAGCCCAGTAGGTCGAGGTTGTGGTGGCCAGGAGCGGCCACTGCACTCCAGTCTGGGCGACAAAGTGAGACTCCAACTCAAAAAAAAAAAAAAAATCAGCCGGGCGTGGTAAGCGCGTGCCTGTAATTCTGGCTACTCAGAAGGCTGAGGGGGAAGGATCGCCCCGGCCACTGCACCGTACCCCAGTCTGGGCGACAGAGTGAGACTCCAGCTCAAAAAAACAACAACAAAAAAAACCCCAAAAACAAAAACAAATTGCTGGGGTCACAGATGTGAGCCATCACATCTGGCCTGCTAATTCTCAAGAGCACTGTTTATATTACAAGAACATAAAGACTATCCTTAAGTCCTCAATTTAGATTTATTTTGAATACAGATAGGTTATATTAAGACAACTAAAAATTGACCACACCTTCAGTTTCCTAAAAGGATTAAGAGGGAATTATGTAAAATGTCTACAAATGTGTTACCTTGATTCTCTCTAAAGATGTCAATGCACTTGACTAGAATTCCTCAATGTGCATTAACATGACATGCCTCATCCCTTCTAGCCAAAGGCTCAAAAAAGGGCGATGCTCTGTGTGCTGGCTATGGTGGAAGGCAGGGAATGGTGCTAGCTTGATTTTAAGGCCAAAAGAAAAGATCTTTTATTTAATTCTTTAATTCAGTTATGGTATGTGAATATAAATGATCAAGAAATTGATTATAGCCGGGCTCGGTGGCTCAGCCTGTAATCCTGCGCCTTTGGGAGGCTGAGGTGAGTGAATTGCCTGAGCCCGCGGGTTCGAGACCCGCCTGGGCAGCGAGACCTCATCTCTACAATAAATCAAAAAATCAGCCGGGCGTGGTAGTGCATGCCTGTAATTCCGGCTACTTGGAAGGCTGAGGCGGAAGGATCGCCGGAGCCCATCAGGTCGAGGCTGCGGTAGCCAGGAGCGGCCACTGCACTCCAGTCTGGGTGACAGAGTGAGACTCCAACTCAAAAAAAAAAAAAAATAAAGAAATTGATTATAAACAAAATTGCATACACAAAAAATAGAGCTATAGTGATTCTAATACAGAAAATGTATGTGATACTTATTCTCTATTGACAGTATAGACCAAGATGCCACTGGTTGCGTCCTTAAATATGGGCAGAACTTTTGCCTTGGAATAACAGGAGGATTTGAAAACAAAATGGTGAGTTGTCACTCTGCATGTTTACTTTAGTCATTTTTGTTCCCCCAAATGGGCTAACAGCAGTCTACTGAAGCAGAGAGAAGGCTCTGTAGACACAGGCCCCGTCTCTGACTTCACGATGGTTTCAACTTGCAGCTTTTCATAGGCAGTTTTGGGCCATGTCTGTCCTTCTGACATTGCAAATTACAAAAAATATACTCTTAAAAGTAAAAGAGTAAGGGAGAAAAGCCATTTTGCAACACAGCTGGCAAAAAGCACAAATTCATGCCACTTCCACCTGTAAATTAAACGATTGGGTTAATTAATAATCATTTGACACCTGTCAAATATCACCAATGCTACAAGGTTTATTTTCTGACACCTCTTTTATTTAAACTTTTGATTATCCAACTTTTGACTAATACAGGAGAAGGACTATCTAAATTTCTTAAATTTGCATAACTCAGGGAGCCTTGGGGATTATAAAATATAATAGAACCAGATAGATTTGGGTTTGAATTTCAGATTTGTACATGTAAGATAGGAATTTGGATAAGCTATTTAACTTTTTTGAGTCTGCTTCTCATCTATAAAATGGTGAGTATTATACCTACCTTACTACATTCCAGGCAGTGTTGTAAATGCTTCACATATATTAATTCATTTAATTCTCCAAAGAAACCTGTTAGGTAGAGACTATTTTGCCTTTATTTTACTGGTGGGGAGGCGGAGGCACTAAGAGGTTAAGTGATTTTTTTGGCTCAAGTCACTCTGCTAGTAAGAAGCATAGTTAATGCTATACAACTTTTTTATTGAATCGAAGATTCCGTTATTGTATGATGTAACATCATCATCATTATTATTTGGTACTACTAAGAAAAAAAAATGCTGCCAATTAAACTATGACCGCCCCCCCCCTCCAGCCACATGGCCAACTCAGCCTGAGTTGAATGTAGAAATGAAATACAAAATTATTGAAAGAGGAGAGTAAATCACCATTTTTTTTGAGTTGGAGTCTCATTCTGTCACCCAGACTGGAGTGCAGTGGCATGCTCATGGCCACCGCAGCATCGACCTGCTGGGCTCAGGTGATCCTTTTGCCTCAGCCTTCCAGGTAGCTGGAAATACAGGCGTGCGCCACCATACCTGGCTAATTTTTATTTTATTTTATTTTATTGTAGAGACGAGATCTGGCCAAGTTGCCCAGGCTGGTCTTGAGCCCCTGGGCTCCTCTCGCTGCTGTCTCCCAAAGTGCTGGGATTACAGGTGTGAAAGCCACTGTGCCCAGCCAGTAAATCACCATTTCTTATTCAGAGATTTGCACTACTAACCTTTTGACTTATTTCATTTTTATATGTATTCTTTTTATTAACTTAGATGTGACCAAATATTCAGATAGATTGTTTCTTTTCTTTTTTCTTTCTTTCTTTCTTCCTTTCTTCCTTTCTTTCCTTCGTTTCCTTTCTTTTCTTTTCTTTTTTTTTGAGACAGGGTTTTGCTGTGTCATATAGGCTGGAGTACAGTGGCCTGGTCATAGCTCACTGCAGTCTCAAATTCCTGGGCCCAAGTGATCCTCCCACCTCAGCCTTCTGAGTAGCTGGGACTACAGGTGTGTGCCACCACACTTGGCTAATTTTTATTTTTACTTTTTGAGGAGACAATGTCTCACTATGTTGCCTAGGCTGGTCTCAAACTCCTGGCCGCAAGCAACCCTCTAACCTTGGTTTGGGATTATAGGCATGAGCCACTATGCTGGGCAGATTATTGTTTCTGAAAGAGCATTTAAAAGTTTTTAATGACAAAAACATTGAATGAGTACACAATATATAATTGTGTGGCAGTATTGTAATTTACCTGTCCTTATTCTACTTTTGGGCTTTTGGGTTTGGTACAATATTTCTCTACTACATATAAAGTTCCAAAGTGCATCTGTGCACAAATGCTTAAACCTTCTCCCACCCAGATCCAAATTAGGGATTCTATCTTTAGGATAGATTTCTAGGCATAAAATTACTGAATTAAAGAATATGAATACATTTAAAAGTATTAACACATATAATGAGCTCTTTTTGTAATGAGTGTACTAATTTGTACTCTCAGCAACAGTAAATAAGGATGACCATCTATGGCTTTATTAACTGTAGTAAGTATCATCATTAACAACATCATATGCCGGGTGCAGTGGCTCACACCTATAATCCCAGCACTTTGGGAGGCCGGGGTGAAAGGATTGCCTGAGTCCACCGGTTTGAGACCAGCCTGGGCAACTTGGCGAGACCTCATCTCTACAATAAAAAATTAGCTGGACTTTGTGGCATGTGCCTGTAGATCCAGCTACTAGGACGACTGAGGTGGAAGGATTGTCTGAGTCCAGCAGGTTGAGGTGGCAGTGGCTGTGAGCGTGCCACTGCATTCCAACCTGGATGACAGAGTGAGACTCTGACTCAAAAACAAAAAACACAAAAAACATTGCAGGCTGGGCGCAGTAGCTCATGCCTGTAGCCCCAGCACTTTGGGAGGCGGAGGTGAGAGGATTGCCTGGGCGAGAGGATTGCCTGATTGCTAGGGGTTTGAGACCAGCCTGGGCAACTTGTAAGACCTTGTCTCTTCAATAAATTAAAAAAATTAGCTGGGCATGGTGGCACATTCCTGTAGTCCAGCTACTTGGGAGACTAAGGCAGAAGGATTGCCTGAGCCCAGCAGGTCACAGCTGTGGTGACCATGAATGTGCCACTGCACTCCAACCTGGGCGACAGAGTGAGACTCCGACTCAAAAAACAAAAAACAAAAACACAAAACACATATTGCTAGGGCCAGGTGTGGTGGTTCATGCCTGTAATCCCAGCACTTTATGAGACTGAATGTGGTATTCAGAGGAAGGAAAAGCAGTTGGAAGGGTATACGTATGTTGGTCTCAGCTTCTGAGATGGCATTTTTTTTTTGAGTTGGGGTCTCACTGTGTCATCCAATCTGGAATGCAGTGGCACAATCATGGCTCACTGCAGTCTCGACCTCCTGGGCTCAGGCAATCCTTCTACCTCAGCCTCCTGAGTAACTGGGACTATAATCATGTGCCACCATGCCCGACTAATTTTTTATTTTTATTTTTTGTGGAGATGAGGTCTTGCTATGTTGCCCAGGTTGGTATCAAACTCCTGGACTCAAGCAATCCTCCTGCCTCGACCTCCCAAATGCTGGGATTGCAGGTGTGAGCTACTACTGCACCCAGCCTGAGATGGCATTTCTGAGGTAGAGGAAAATTGAACTTTCTCATACCATCAGTAGGGAAAGGGGTTTTGCCAACTGCTTTTTTTGTTTGTTTGTTTGTTTGAGTTAGAGTCTCACTCTGTTGTCCAGGCTGGAGTGTAGTGGCACACTCATAGCCACCCCAGCATCAACCTACTGGGCTCTGGCGATCCTTTCGCTTCAGCCTTCCAAGTTGCCAGAACTACAGATGCACGCTACCACACCCGGGTAATTTTTTATTTATTATAGAGACGGGGTCTTACCAAGTTGACTGGGCTGGTCTCGAACCTGAGGGCTCAGGCAATCCATTCGCCTCGTCCTCCCAAAGTGCTGGGATTATATGCCAACTGCTTTTGAGCACACTTGCCATCCAGCCAGTTGACAGCTTCCCATTTCCCCACCTTTCAGGAGCTCTGACTTAGTTCTCTACTTGCTGTCATTTTCAGTTGTATGTATCAAGTGACCACAGGACCCTCCTGAAATCGTCTAAGAGGTCTTGGCTCCAGGAAGTGTACCTGACGGATGAGGTCTCCCATTTGAACTGCTGGCAGGCTGCCCTCCCTGACCCTCAGCTGCGCCTGGAACATGAAGGCTTGCCCATCCCGGTGAGCATGGCATCAGGAAGACAGGGGTGACCAGGCCATCACATGGACGCAGCTTACTCCTGTCTGTAAAATGGAGGTTTATCATACTGCATGCCTTATGACTTTTCTTCTTTTTTCATTTATTACTCAAGTTTGGAAGGTACTAGCATGGCCTTTGGTAGCATCTTACTTTGGGGTTTCTTAGCTCTGGCTGTGCTTTAGAATCATCTAAGGGAAGCCGGGGGCAGTGGCCTATGCCTGTCATCCCAGTACTTTCAGAAGTGGAGGTGGGAGGATTGCCTGAACTCAAGAGTTCGAGATCAGCCTGGGCAACACAGCGAGACCTCATCTCTACAAAAAAATAAAAAAATTAGTCAGGTGTGGTGGTCCGCAACTGCAGTCACAGCTACTTGGAAGGCTGAGGCGTTAGGATCACCTGAGCCCAGGAGATCGAGGCTGTGGTGAGCAGTGATCATGGGTCACAGAGTGAGACTTCGACTCAAAAAAAAAAAAAAAAAAAATCACCTAGGGAGACCAGGTGCAGCTCACACCTGTAATCCCAACACTTTGGGAGACCAAGGTGGGAAGATCATTTGAAATCAAGAGTTTGGGACCAGGCTGGGCAACATAGCAAGACCCCGTTTCTACAAACAGTAATAATAATGAAAGTTGGACGTGATGGACTGTGCTTGTAGTCCCAGCTGCTCAAGAGTCTGAGGAGGGAAGATCATTTGAGCCTAGGAATTTGAGGCTGCAGTGAGCCATGATCACACTACTGCACTCCAGCCTGGGTAACTGAGTGAGACTCTGTCAAAAAAGAAAAATAAAAGAATTACCTAAGGAACTTTTAAAGAGTACTGAAGCTCATGCCCTGCCCTTGAGGTCAGCCAATGTGAGATCCTAAGGACGGTGACACTGCCTCCTTGTACTGTGTTCTCCCAGGCCCCTGTTAAGTACTAATTTATTTTATTTTATTTTTTGAGTTGGAGTCTCACTCTGTTACCCAGGCTGAAGTGCAGTGGCATGCTCAGGGAAACTGCAGCCTCAACCTGCTGGGCTCAGGGGATCCCTCCGTCTCAGCCTTCCAAGTAGCTGGAACTACAGGTGTGCACCACCGTGCCCAGCTAATTTTTTGATTTTTTGTAGAGATGAAGTCTCACCCTGTTACCCAGGTTGATCTTGAATCCGTAGACTCAGGCAATCCTCTCACTTCCACCTCCCAAAGTGTTGGGATTACCGGCGTGAGCCACCGCACCCATCTATAAGTACTAATTTTTTTTTTTAGTTGGAATCTCACTCCTTTGCCTAGGATGGAGTGCAGTGGCATGCGCACTCACGGTCACCCCAGCGTCCACCTTCTGGGCTCCAGCGATCCTTGCACCTCAGCCTTCCGAGTAGCCGGAACTACAGACGCGTGCTACCACGCTCGACTATTTTTTTATTTTATTGTAGAGACAAGGTCTCACCAAGTTGCCCGGGCTGGTCTTGAACTGGCAGGCTCAGGCAATCCACTCGCCTCGGCCTCCCAAAGTGCTGGGATTACAGGCTGAGCCACCGAGCCTGGCCTATAAGTGCTAATTTTGAAAGAGACAGCCAGGCTCGGTGGCTCAGCCTGTAATCCCGTGCTTTGGGAGGCTGAGGTGAGTGGATTACCTGAACCCACGGGTTTAAGACCCGCCTGGGCAACTTGGCAAGACCTCATCTCTACAATAAATCAAAAAATTAGCTGGGCGTGGTAGCGTGCACCTGTAGTTCCAGCTACTTGGAAGGCTGAGGCGGAAGGATTGCCGGAGCCCAGCAGGTCGAGGCTGTGGTGGCCGGGAGTGGCCACTGCACTCCAGTCTGGGTGACAGAGTGAGACTCCAACTCAAAAAAAATAAAAATAAAAAAGAAAGAGACAAGGAAGCCAAGGACACAGCAGGGCAGCCATGCAGGCAAGCGCAGAGGTCCTGCAGAGTTCTGAGAGTTGTCACTGTAGGGCATTTTTTTTCCTGGACCCTGCAGCACTAAGCCAAGGCACAGTCCTGTGGGAAGGGTCTGGTGAGCACAGAGCAGGCCTCCCTGTTTTAAAGGCAAGAGGCTTTCCTACTTACGAGGTGTCTGACAGATGGAGGAGGGGGACTTGTTGGAAGTCACTGGAAGAGTGTGGGATTAGCAGGAAGGGTTGACAAGTCAATTACTCAGGTGGCTACCTGTGGCCACTGCTTACTGGCCAGCAGTGGCCACAGTTACAGGGATCTCTGAATTTGCCTGACGCAGCATTCCTTTCTCTCAGCTCTGCCAGGTGGACTTGGCTTCACAAAGTTCTTCTCCAAGCATGGAGGATCATATATATTACCCATAACAAAATGGGCTTGACACATTTTTCTCTTCAGCTGTCCTCCACCAAGCTTTGCTTTCCTGGGCATTGCTTCTTGTTTCCAGAATTTGAACTGTCACTGCCTCAGTTTACTTATTTGTAAATTAGGGATGTTAATAATATCCACCTTGTGAGCTTTTGTGAAGACTAAATGGTTAGTACATTTAGAATGCTTATTAGGAAAGTGCCTTGGTGGTAGGATGCAGTGGCTCATACCTATAATCCCACACTTTGGGAGACCAATGTGGGAGGCTTGCTTGAGGCAAGAGGTCGAGACCAGCCTGGGCAATGTAGCAAGACCTCATCTCTACAAAAAAATTTAAAAAGTTAACCAGGTGTGGTGGTGCACACCTGCAATCCCAGCTACTGGGGAGGCTGAAGTGGGAGGATTACCTGAGCCCTGGAGGTCAAGGTTACAGTGATCTGTGATCGTGCCACTGCAATCCAGCCTTGGTGACAGAGTGAGATCCTAACTCAAACAAACAAAAAAAACTGGGCGCGATGGCTTATGCCTGTAATCCTAGCACTTTGGGAGGCAGAGGCGAGAGGATTGCCTGAGTCCAGGGGTTTGGACAACTTGACGAGACCTCATCTCTACAATAAATCAAAAAAGTAGCCGGGCATGGTGGTGCATATCTGAGGTTCCAGCTACTTGGTAGGCTGAGGCAGAAGGATTGCCCGAGCCCAGTAGGTTGAGGCTGCAGTAACCTTGAGGGTGCCACTGAACTCCAGCCTGGGCAACAGAGTGAGACTCCTTCTTAAAAAAAAAAAAGAAAGTAAGAAAGAAAGAAAGAAAAGTGTCTGCTAGAAGGCACTCTCATAAGTACTAATTGTGGTCATGATTGTTGTTGTTTAGAGTTGTTAAAGAAGCTGTGTCCCAGGTCCCAGGAGTTTTCTCCCTCACCAACTCACCTTATGACCTGAGGCAGGTCTCTGAGCCTCACTCAGACATTGCACATCTGCAACGTAGTCATCCTTCCACCTGTCAGACCTACCTTGCACATGTCAATGGCCCCTGGCCAGAGACCATCAGGAGCATCTGTAGCTGAGCAAGTTGGGTTTATCACTTGTCACAGTGAGCAGAAACACATATGGGGGGGGGCTCTCTGTAAGAAGGTGTTAAAAAGGATGCTTATAGAATCTGGGCTTTGGTTGGGTGGTCTTGGGGACAGTCCCAGGAAGGAGGGCTTTGCTCTGGATAGGATGCTGTCAGGAAGCAGAGGTGATTCTAGGATTGAAGAGGTGATTCTAAGATTCAAATCCTTTCTCCAGGGAGGGCAGACTAGAGCGAGGATAAAGCTGTCATTCATAAAGAAGCAGCAATCACGCACATTGGCCGGTACAGGTGGATGTTTGATATTTTGTGGCTTGGACAATACTGGTGTGTTTTTTTTTTCTTGGTTTTTGTTCTTTTTAATGCTGGTGTTTTTTCTGTGTTTAGACATGATTACAGAGTGGTCTTGTTTTTGTCTTGGCCCCTTGTGATCACAGAGCAGCCTTGTCTGATGTGGACATTCTGTGGAATGGATTCTGTTTCCAGGAGAACAACAAGGCTCAGCTGTGGTTCCAGGCCAACTCCTGGACGTCAGGCTGCTCTTTCTTTCTTATGTAGCTTTTAGCTGACATGAGTCAGAATTTTGATATAACATTTTTTCTGATTAAAAACATAGTATATGTTCCCAGGTCGGGCGTGGTGGCTCACGCCTATAATCCCAGCACTTTGGGAGGCCAAAGTGAGAGGATTGCCTGAGCCCACGGGTTTGAGACCAGCCTGGGCAACTTGGCAAGACCTCACCTCGGGCGTGGTGGTACGCACTTGTACTTCCAGCTACTTGCAAGGCTGAGGTGAAAGGATTGCCTGAGCCCAGCAGGTCAAGGCTGAGGCTGCTGTAGCCGTGATCATGCCACTGCATTCCAGCATGCGTAAGCAACAGCATGAGAATCAGACTCAGAAAAATAAAAAAGAAATAAATATATAGTATACTTTCAAATTTTTACTTTTGGGAAATTGGAGGCCATAATTCAGAATGCTAATAACACATTTTCTTTACCTGTGAAGGCAAATACCAAAATTCTCATCAATCACTGCCACACGAATCGGGGACTGGCGGCCCACCGACACCTTTTCCTAAGGTATTGTAGTGCAGGGGGCAACATAATGCCATGGAGGGGGTGAAGGCCTTGAATGAGGCCAATTTAAAGTATATGGCCACACATGCCAAAAATGTCCTTTGCAGATGAGATGTCCCATAGAACTTTGCGGGTGTGAAAAACCCAATTGGCAAGTGCTTCCCCCACAAGAGGATTTTAGCTCTAATGGGATCCTACCCACCTAATCCTTGCCCAGAGTGAAACTTCCCTGCAAACAGGTCCTCTTTTAGAGATCCAAGGGCTTGATATGGCAGCTTGCTCCTTCAGTGCGTTAGTGCTGAAATTAGCAGCTTGCTTAAAGTTAGTATTCAGTTTCAAACCAGAATTAATTCCTTCTTGCACTAGCACCTATTTTGGAAAGGAAGCGGAGGTTGTAGCCCACACCTACCTGGATTCACACAGAGTGGAAAAACCAAAGAACCACTGGATGCTGGTTACTGGAAATCCCAGGGATCACTCATCCACCATGTTGGACCTGCCCAAACCGCTGGCAGAGGATACGCGAGCCATGGAACAGGCCATGGGTCTCAACATGCAGTAACATACCAGGCACACATGTATTCTCTCAGGCCCTGCTGTCATCAGATGTGGCTGTAAAAGAAATTGACAACCTTGGCCATGCCTCAAGCTATTTCATAGTAAGATGTAGAACTCTCTGAGCACTATGTTAAAACAAAGGCTATGTGAAGATTATTGAATCTGTGATGAGGGTCTAGGGCTAGAAAAAAAAATGTGCTCTGGGGAATAAATAGAAACAAGAGCCCTTTGTTGACAACCAAATTCTGAAAGACTCAGCTTCCTCTGCTTAGATCCTTCACGGGAGCAGTCTCTACAGGGGCTGGGTGTTACTTTTTGAAGTTCTGTCTGTGTAATAAAGTGATTAGAACTATACTGGCTTTTTGGCACCACTATGTCCCTCTCTACTCTGTACCAGGAAATCAACAATGTGTAGCTGTGAACTTGCCTTGGAATAAAAAATACTCCCCCCTTGTAAAACATGCTATTTTTATTTCTCTCTCTGGCTTCGGAGGTCAGGACTTCTGACTGACTGGTAACCTATTATTTTGTAATGATTTTTTTCAAACTATAGAATTCTTTTTATCTGCCTTATCTTTGAAACTGGCCTTTTAGTTGTGGCACCCATGTGATTAGAAAATTCCTGAAAAAATAAATGTATATATTCTTCCATTTATGTGTTCACCTATTCATTCTTCGTTGAGTTCCTATGATGTGTAAGGTAAGTTGTAAGGCTAGTTCCCAAATACATATATTGAGAGGCAGAACGTAAGCCACAGGTGATGTAAATGTGGTTTAAATAGTGGCTCATGTCTGTAATCCCAGCAATTTGGGAGGCTGAGACAGGAGAAGTGCTTGAGGCTAGGAGTTCAGGACCAGCCTGGGCAACATAATCTCCCATTTCTACAAAAATAAAATAGCCAGCCATGACGGTGCACACCTGTAGTCCCAGCTACTTGGGAGGCTGAGGTAGGAGGATTGCTTGAGCCTTGGAGATCAAGGCTGCAATGAACCATGATCGCGCCACTGTACTCCAGCCTGGGAGAAAATCTGCCCTTTGAGGATCAGTGCTCTAGACCAGCAGTCCCCAACCTTTTTGGCATCAGGGACCGGTGTTTGGAAGACAATTTTTTCAAGGATGGGGGAGAGAGGGAAATGTGCAGTTAAACCTCACCAATAATCACTGCCTCAGCTCCACCTCAGACCATCAGGCATCAGATTCTCATAAGGAGCCCACAATCTAGATCCCTTGCATGCACAGTTCACAACAACTTTTGTGTTCCTATGAGAATCTAATGCTGCCACTGATCTGACAGTAGACACTGCTCACTTCCTGCTGTGTGGCCTGGTTCCTAACAGGCCATGAATCAGTACCAGTCTGTGGCCTGGGGATTGGGAACCTCTGGTCTAGACCTTCTAGGTATGCTTTATTTGCCATTTGCAGAGGATGCCATAAAGAGTTTTCTCTTTTTCCCTCCTTACCCTCCCCTCTCTTTCTCTCCCCTCCTCTCCCCTCTGATTCCTTTTTTTTTTTCTTGTAGTGATTAGATTTGTTTGCCAGTTGCAGTGGCTCACACTTGTAATCCAGCACTTCAAAAGGCCGAGGATGGAGGATGGCTTGAGTCCAGGAGCTCAAGACCTGCCTGGGCAACACAGGAAGACCTCATCTCTACAAAAAAAAAAAAAAATTAACCAAGCATGGTAGCACATGCTTATAATAACTACCTGGGAGACTGAAGCAGGAGGATCACCAGAGCCCAGGAGGTTGAGGCTGCAGTGCGCTGTGATTGTGCCACTGCACTCCAGATTGGGTGATATAGTGAGACTCCAACTCAGAACAGAATAGAATAGAATAGAATAGAATAGAATAGAATAGAATAGAATAGAATAGGTGGCCTCTAACATGGCTTCCATGCCAGCAGGCCAAGGAGGGAGGATTACTTGAGTTCAGTAGTTGGAGACCAACCTAAGCAACATAGCAAGACTTGGTTTCTACAAAAAAAATTAAAAAAAAATTAACCAGGCATGATGGCGCATGCATGTAGTCCTAGCTCCTTGGGAGGCCAAGGCAGAAGGATCACTTGAGCCCAGGAGGTCGAGGCTATAGTGAGCTGTGATCATGCCACTACATTGCTACCTGGTCGACAGAGTGAAACCCTGGTTCAAAAACAAACAAAAAAAAACATGGTTTCCAGGTATATTAATAATCTGCTTTTAGCATCTGAGTTGGATTTTGATGGAAACCTAGAATTCTGGGAGGCACAGACTGTTCTCTAGGATGCAGCTGCTGTGTGGCCCTGTGTGCAGTGACTTTGGCACACAGCATCTCAGCAGTGGCCTCCAGTGTGGAACACACAAGATGCCTATTGAAGTGTGAAAAGACAGCTGGGGTTGGTGGCTCAGCCTGTAATCCCGCGCCTTTGGGAGGCTGAGGTGAGTGGACTGCCTGAGCCCGCGGGTTCGAGGCCCGCCTGGGCAGGCGAGACCTCATCTTTACAATAAAATAAAATAAAATAAATTAGCTGAACGTGGTAGCACGCGCCTGTAATTCCAGCTACTCAGAAGGCTGAGGCGGAAGGATCGCCGGAGCCTAGCAGGTCGAGGCTGCGGTGGCCGGGAGTGGCCACTGCACTTCAGTCTGGGCGACAGAGAAAGACTCCAACTCAAAAAAAAAAAAAAAAGAAATGTGAAAAGACAACTTTAGAATGTCCATGGAAATCATTGTTTTATCCTTTAAAATGTGTGTGCTTTACACTGTTCAAAATGTCAGTTGTTTTCTCTTTTTCTTCTTTTAAAAAAATTTTTAGTCTGGGTACAGTGGTTCACGCCTATAATCCCAGCACTTTGGGAGGCCGAAGTGAGAGGATTGCCTGAGCCTATGTGCTTGAGATCAGCCTGGGAAAATTGGTGAGACCTCATCTCTACAATAAATCAAAAAATTAGTTGGGAGTGGTGGCGTGTGACTATAATTCCAGCTACTTGAAAGTCTGAGGTGAAAGGATTGCCTGAGCCCAACAGGTCAAGGCTGCAGTGGCCGTGAGCATGCCATTGTATGCCAGCCTGGGCAACAGAATGAGACTCCAACTAAAAAAAAAAAAAAAAATTTTATACTCCAAAAATGACTATTTGGCAAAATGTTAGCTTCTTAATGTGCCTAGCATTTTAGCTTAATAGCCACAAGGAACACGGATACATAGAAGTATACATAAATGTGTGTCTCAAATGCTCCAAGGGATACACTTATTGGGAAGGGTACTGAGTCACAAATTGTGGAGACCATCCTACATGCTGTGTGATCATTCATTATGCAGAAAATGCCATCAAGTCACCTGCTACGATAATGCACATGTAGCTTGCTCCGGAGTGGTGGACAATACGCTCCTCCCAGCTCTGAGGTTCACATTCATTCTAGTGAACAGACGTGTATTGATCACTTTCCAGGAGACAGTGCTCTTGCTAGGGTGGTGAAGACAGTGAAGACCAAGGCAAGGACCCTGCAAATGTGGGAGAGAGGGAAGAAGAGACCATGACTGTGGTTATACACAGGGCACTGGAGGATCCCAGTGGAAGAGCGAGAAGATGGCTCATACCCGGCGGCCAGGGAAGCCCGCCCCCAGGTGACAATTGAGCCGGAAGGGACAAGGGGAATGAGCATTCTTGGCACAGGAGACCTTGTCTGCAAAGGGCCAAGTCTGTGTCCCTGAAGTGCTGTGTGTGGAGCTGGAGGCAAAGGTGGGGTCTGGAGGGCTCTCTGCAGAGCTGATTCAGCAGGTGCACCCTGTGTGGCTGTGAGAATACTGTCACGCCTCCATCCTGATTGGAAAATAGCTACTGACTCAAGCCTTTACGGAGCTCCCTGCAACTCTGGCATCTCCTTGGGGACCCTTGGACTTCCCTACAGTCCAGCAACTAAAGAGTTAGCGTCTGCTCTAACAGGGCCCTTCAGAACCCTGACCCAGCATGGAGGCCAAAGTTGGCTCTATTTGGTTGATATCTAATGATATTCAGCAAAAACGGTGTAAGTTGTCATCTATTTTGAATATCGCTCTTGGCTGTATTCCTTAAGTTACTGAACCTGGATTTTATATTGAAGGTGATGGTCTGCCTTTGAAAGGTTTTGGCGAGGAAAGTGGCAAAATTTTGCTTTAGAACAATGATTATGGGGACAGCAGCGAGGATGAATTGACACAATTTGAACTAAGGCAGTGTCAGAAGACATAAAAAGGAAGGCATGTGTGAAAGAGAGGCCAAGGAGAGAGAGACAGGACTCCATAGCTTGGTGGATAAAAGGCCAAGGGAGGAGGAGAGGGTGGACACTCAGGCTTGGGGTGTGGGCCTATCCTTGAGATCTAAAGACAGAAGGGAGGGCAGGTGCACGGGAAGTGGAAGTGGTTGCCTGGGATGCCTGACTCCAGATGGAGACTGGTTTTAATTTTTTAAATTTTTATTTATTTACTTGAGAAATAAATAGACTGGAGTACCATGGTGTGATCACGGCTCCTGCAGCCTCTACCTGCTGGGCTCATGTGATTCTTCCGCCTCAGCCTCCCAAGTAGCTGGGATTACAGGCATGCACCACCACAGCTGGCTAATTTTTTGATTTATTGTAGAAACGGGGTCTTGCCATGTTGCCCAGGCGGGTCTTGAACTCTTGGACTCAGGCAATCCTTCCACCTCGGCCTCCCAAAGTGCAGGGATTACAGGTGTGAGCCACCACACCCTGCTAAAGCTGTTTTCTGGGTAGACACAGGCTGTAATCTAGCTACAGTGTTGTCATCTACTAGGCTGGTTGTTTCCACCACAAACTCAACTAAGTCCTTGATAACTGGTGGCATACACAACTTTAGGATTGAATAGTATCTTTAACTTCCTATCAGCAGGACCATGACAGAGCTCAGCAAGCCCAGTGGCTTGGGTTGGCCACATCCTGGCTCAGAGAATTTCACCTTTTAGGGTTTCTGGGAGGACCGAATGTGTTAGTTACGTAAAAGCAGGTGCCTGTGTGTCAGGGCCTCCTCAGCTTCCCCTCTGCCTTCTTATGTGAGTTTTTGTTTTTGTATTTTTTCTTGGGGTGGGGACTCTGTTGCCCAAGCTGCAGTGCAGTGGCAGGATTACTGCGCGCTGCAGCTGCGACCTCCTGGGCTCAGATGATCCTTCTGCCTCAGCCTCTTATGTAACCGGGACTACAGGCATGCAGCACCACGCCCGGCTTATTACTATTATTATTATTACTATTATTGTTATTATTTTGTAGAGATGGGATCTTGCTATGTTACCTAAGTTGGTCTTGAATTCCTGGGCTCAAGCAATCCTCCCGCCTCCGTCTCCCAAAGTGCTGGGATCACAGACATAAGCCACTACACCTGGCTCCTATGTGAGTTTAATAAGTGTACATCCAAGTTAGGAGATGAATTCATCTTTGTCTCCACACTTGGTTTCATTCTTGGGGCTGGACTCGTCTTCTTTCTCATACACAGTAGACTTTTTTGCATTCAATCAAATTCAACAGACATCGTGATCTATTTCATACCAGGCACCT